TAGTTTGAAACTGATGGAGATACTTCAATAGGATGGCTTAGAAATTAAAGGTTTGGAGTTTCAGTTTTATTGTCATACTTCAAAATCCAAATGCCAATGTACTCACAGGGATAATTACAAATAAATTAAAACCAAAATATTTTGAAATCACTGAAATCAAATATTTTGGTTTGAAAAATGGATTTACATTTTCCAAAAGTAATACAACATTTTAGCTTTTAGTTGCTGTTCATGGAAAATATTTTCAAAAATTTCAATAATGCTGATGGAAAAAAATCCTCAACTTTCTGCCCAAATTTAATACAACTTTTTTTACCAACAAACATCACACACACAGAAGAAGACATGAAGGACATGGCTTATCCAAGAACAGGAGGTTTCCAGCCACTTTACTTGACAGATTTTCCCACCAGTACATAATACTTCCTGTTACAGTTCCTTATGAACTGCTTAACAGAGGAGACTAACTGGACCTGTCTGGTCTCTTCTGAATCCTCCCAGGTGCTGGGCAGAGCTGTTTACCCTATTTTACTCATGTGGCAGCTGGGAATTTTGCAATTCTTTTCATTTAACCTCTATTGTCTCTGACATGATTCATGCACTAGGGCAACAGGGAAAAAGTATAAAAATTATATATTATATATTCAGCTTGGAGAGTTTCAAAAAATATCAGCTCTTTCTGCAGTTGGAAAGCAGAGAAAAGAGAAGTGTGACTAACTCTTCTTAAATATATAGAAGATGTGCACCAGAAAAGGAGCTGTGTTACTGTGGTGGGAGAGTTCATATATCTGTGATTCACAACATTACAGGGCCCATTTGGTATGCAAAAAGAGAGGATGATAAAAGGAATAGTTAGTCATGGAGAAAAAGCTAGACAGAACACACAAAGATGCTAACTTCTGGGAAAGGGTGCATATTTAAGTGTGATCCACAGTCTGGGAAAGGTAATAGAGTTTTTTTTCTTTATTTTCCTAAAATACCTTCTTACTTTGGTTGGTAGAGTACTCGAAGGAGTGTCCTTCATCCCACCCTTGAAAGAGCACCATGAACTCCAGTGCACTGCTCAAGCCTATCTCTACCTAGGTAGATGGTACATTATTCTTCAAGCTTTTGCTAAAAGCAGACAGCCAAATTCTCTCATGACCATGTTCTTTTCTCCTCTCACTTTAGAAAGTATTCTTTAAGGCAGGCAGAAGAGGAAAAAACGACATGCCAGCTGTGCTGCTGGAGCACATAATGTATAATGCTTTGCATGCAATTGCTGAAATCACCACTGTTGAAATGCTTGCAGATAGATGGTGTTTCTGTTAAACTTTCACCTCCCTGAAAATAGTCATATTTAAAGCAGGGATGAAGGAGAATGATTTGCCTTAGGGATCCCCCTTGTCGACTCATGTGATTGCTGTTGAAAATGGTCTGGATCTAAAAGACCACAAAGGTGTTTGATGTTCTTCATATATATCCTTCAGCAAAAGAACTGGGAGAACAGTCAGTGCTCCTGTGTGTTTGCATTTTCAATAACACACGTGAAACAAGCTGTGCCCTGCCAGTTTGGAACAAGCTCTATCCTGCCTTGATGTACCTATGCTGTGTCTCTTCTACTGGTATGTGTGAAGAGGGTGGGTAGGAAGGGGGAGAAATAACATTCATAGGGAAGAAAAAGGAGTGGGGCCAGGGGAAGAAGATAAGAGGAAGATAAATGGAGGGAAGGAAATTAATTGGTGGGCAGAAATAAGACACTGTCCAAAAAAAAAAGAAAGAATTTAGATAGGGAGGGAAAAGGCAATTGAGATAAAAATGCTCAAAAGACACAGGTGAAGAAGCAGGCAGGCATAAGGAAAGAGATAAAAAAGGAAAAAAAATAATGTAAAATGCATAGAATATAAAGACAAAATTAGATTAACCATCTCACCAAAAAGGAGCTGACAAGAGTAACATGGGGAAAATCAGATTGGTAAGATGGCAGAAATAAACCTAAAAGGAAACACAGAAGACAGTAACATAAGCTGCATTTAACAATGTTCATGGGACAGGCCTTCCAACAATTATTTGTTATGCTGTTGCCCTGTGGTCACTGATAGTGGTGACGTCTGGTTTCAGATCAGCTCTCTCAGCACCAAGGACAAGTTACAAGGAGAAAAGGACACAGCTGTGACTGCCAGTCCAGTCTCCTGAGTGGTAGAAGGATTCCATAGAAAAGTCTCTGGTAAAGCAGAGAACTGAACCTCAGTTTACTGTCTCCTTTAAGTCAAGACAGTCTTCTGCCTTTCCTTCTCTGCCGCGTTTGATGGATGAATCCCTGCTCTGCTACTGCCATTCACCTCCAGTCAGGACACTAACCCAACCAACATCTAGGAATAATGGACAAGAATATGGTAAACAATTCAGTATGCTGCCAGCAGAGAATACAGTCCCCCTTTCTCCAGTAATGACTCCAGATTGTTTTGCTGCCTTCCTGCAAGGTTAGGACTACCAACCAATCTGGGAACATACACCCAAGTCATAAAATGAATTATGGCTAACTAGTGCAACTCAAAATAAGGAAAAAAGGAGTAGATAATTTTTAGAATTATTTCCCATTCACACAAGAATCAAAAATGATAGATGGTGTCACTGGAGAACTGCAGCACCAGTGGAACACTGTTCTATCACAGTGTTTACCATGGGTGTCTTTACCTCATCCATTAAAGCTGTTAAACACTGCTCTGAATCACAAGGTATCTCTGAGGGCCCGTGGTGTAGGCAATTTCTGTGTATGATATCCTGCAACAGTCCTCTAGGGCTGCTAAACCACCCGCTCATGCTGTAGGCACACACTCAAACACACAAGTGATCTCACTGTTTTTGCAGCACTATTTATGGCAATAACAAACGATTCATCTGAGTGGGGGATTATTGTCAGTTAGGTCAAAAAAAAAAAATAACCAGGAGCATCTTCTTCCACCTGAACCAAGAAAAGGTTTGGAGCTGAATTCACACCCTGCTCTGGGTCCCACTTGTGTGCCTGTGTGCTTGGAAAGCAGGCACTGCTGCTGCCCCTGAGTGATTCAGAACATCCATGTGGGAACGAGCAGGCAAAATCAGTCAGAGTCTGTCGTCCTTTGTGGCCCTTCTTACATCAATAGTGTAGAAATGTAAAGGGCACGAACGCTGCAGGTAAATATGACTGGTGTATTATTAGTTTTTATGTCAGACAGGTCATGTCCTTGCTTAACCATAGCTTTCCTAACTGAATCATTTCTGGTTCCTTTAAAACATGGGCTAATAATGATGAATCAAAGGTAGGGATGATCCTAACTTAAAGAGGCATAGTACAAGACAGTGTTATAATCAAGGAAACTACTGTTATCTAGAGACACAGAACAGTTGCAATTAATTCTGCATTCCTCACTTTAGCCCAAAGACATACTAATAGCATTCCCCTTAGCCACCTTGCATGGTGCCATTCAGCACATGCCCATCAGAAACAATGAATACACACATCAACTGAAGAGTAAGGGTAATTTCCTGTGGTTGTTTTACAAGCAAGAGATTAAACTGTGACTACCCCACAGAGTTTAAACAATGGTTTGTAATAAAACTGATGCCATAACGTGTAATCAGAAGTTTGACATGCCTAATGCAGCATTCATATGTAAACTCTCTTCAGTAGAAACAGCCCAGCCCTCTAATTTCAGTCTTTGTTCCAAAACGAAACCTTGGGCCAGGTACCTGTGAACACGTGCTGAGGTCCCTGTCAAAGGATGGAGACAAAATTTCTCCATGGAATTAATGGAGACCTCAGACTGCCTCTGTGCAGGCAGAAGCTCTCTGGAGCCCATGAGAAGACAGGCTCTGTTTGAGCCTGTTAGTAAGCACATAATTGCCATGCATGACTGCATGGGGAAATTTTCAAGTTCATCTCAGTTACCCTGCCATTCCTCCCTTAACTAAACCACTCTACACAGCTCCTGTATGATACCAGAGACATTTACCACATCATTTGATGTCTTCCTACTGTTAGAAATAACCCATAGACATCCATCCACAGATTTTCTAAATGAAAGCAGTCACACAGAATTTGTCCATGCATTTTAACCCATCTTAATGGATTAAAAACCCCGGGTGGTCACAGCTCGGATCTCAGTAAGCTCTCCGGGAAGCACAGACAGGACACACAGACAGGAGCTGGGGCTCCAGCATTGGCAGTGAATTGCCAGGCTGATGTGTGAGGGTGCAAGGACCACAAGGGTGGGGACAGGGACAGGGATGGGCAGGATGACACAGCCTGGGGCTGAGAGGCAGATGGGGGAAGCTAGAGCAGAGCTGTGAGGGAAGCCAAGGGCGAGAACTGGCATGTCAGGAACATTGCAGGACAAGGCAGAGGCTAGAGGCGGAGGGAAAAGAGGACAGTGTGGTAGGAGCTGCAGGCCAGTGGGCAGAGCTGCCAGGGAGAAAGGAGTAGCAGGCAGCATGGGCCGGCGCAGCTGTGAGGCAGCTGGGCAGGAAGGGCTAACTGCCCCCCCAGAGCCAAGTCAGCATCCCCACGCTCAGCAGGCAGGCAGCTAGCAGCCACAGGCATCTGTCTGAGCTCATCTGAGGGCAGGAGCAGGGCCCCTGTGTATGCATCCACTTGAGGACGATGTCTATTAGCATTCACCCAAGCCATTTTAAAACATCCCAGTTATTGAGAGTCTCTCTGATAAGCAGTGACGAGTCCAGGCACTGCACCACTACCATCACCGCAGCATAGCAATCAGAAAGTGAGGCTTTCAAAGACCAGAATAAAAAACTAAGTTCAGAAGCTTATAAATTATTTGTATATTTGACTCAAGGCTGCAAGCTTTGTTCAAGCCTGAAAGATATTAAGCAACTGAGCAACTGCTTGAGAATCACCATTCATTTAAAAAAAAAAAAGGGCAACAAAACCCTACTACATTCAGTACTCAGTAATAACTCTCTCGGAGTTTAATCTGCACAGGTTTACTACAGATCACTGAATACCAAAAAGGGATCGGTACCTGCTTTGTAAGTCGTTTAGGTGCAATTCGCCTACATAATGGGTGGCTGATGAGACAGTGATGATCCTAGCGTTGTGACTGTGCGTTCCTGATTGCTTCAGCATATCCAACAGGAGGTTAGTCAACAGGAAGTGTCCCAAGTAGTTCAAGCCGAAGTGCTCCTCAAACCCATCCTCCGTCTTCCTTTCAGGGACCAGCATCACCCCAGCTGGAGGAAAAAGTAGAGGTAAAACTTGTTGATTTATTTCAGAGGAGCAGCAAGCTAGATGGAGCACGATCTCCTGCTGTAAAGTGTAAACACAGCATTTAGAGCAATGAGTGACTGGTGATGGTATGTGAAGTGTAGGCACCGAATGATTTCTGACAAGAAAAATGTCAAAACCCCCATTTCAGTTCCTTTATCCTGGTAATATCTAGATTGACTTCCTCCCTCCCTCCCTGCAGGACTGAGGGTAAATGAGTTCATTTGTGAAAAGTGTTTTGAAGACGTTAAAAGCTAAATTAACCCACTGCTGTCATGCCAGAATGCAATATTGCAGATCCACAAAAATAATTAATCCATCTGCAAGAGGGAGAGTTTGGTGATCCCAAGAACATTTCCTCCACCAAAGAGCACAGAGCAGTGGTGACTAGACCAGGAGAAGCAGCAGATCTGCTCTCCCAGACACCTTTCTCCTGAGTCCTGGCTGGAGTTTAAAGATCTGGTGAGTCTGCATCTGAAATCTGTAACTTCGATCTCACTGGTGTGGGTAAGAAAAGATGTAGTAAAGTTACCCAATATATCTTAATTACTGTGCTTACAAGCAGCTGCATATTGAAATGAGGTTTTCAATGCTTATTTTGGCAATATTTTTGCATAAATATCTACAAACCACAATTTTCAAACACAGTGTCTAAAATAAGTAAGTATCCACATCCCTAAAGTGCAATGTTGATTTCAGCATCTTGCAGAAAATTCTGAGCTCATGCATAAATTATATCATGTACTGAGGCTGTGTGGGGGATAACTATCCTGCTCAATTATAGCATAGATTTGAATACTATAAATTCTTCTTATTTTATTAAAATTTAATTACTGTACAAGTGGACATGACCTTCATAATTTAAATGCAGATGGACATGGTTCCTGGAAAATAGTGTTGTAGGATGCTTGTCTTCTCTCTAAAATACATGAATATGATACAGCAGAAAGGCCACCTCTGCTCACAGACATAAGAGAGCATCAGCTTAATCCTTGTGCTACTTCACCTGCCTATTATGTAGCCTTTATCATCCCATTTCTTGATGTCAGCCTGGTGATGGCACTTTAAATGACCATTTTAAATTGTACATGCTAAGCCTCTACACCACTCCTTTGGGGGTCCTGCCACCCAACAGTCCTGCTTTGTTGCTGCTGCTTGGACAGAAGGGGAGATATTTTCAGATGTTTTTAGTATGGCAAACACCCATAGCAATTCACCTATAGCTTCCTACTGCTTAATGGAGAAACTGGAGAAGGAGCATGAGGGGAAGAAACTTTAGAAGATCTTCTGGTTGAGAAATCAAAAGGTTTGGGTGTAACACAGTAACTTAAGACTGTACATAAACGATGCTGGCTGATGGTACAACAAAAGAAACACAACGCAAATTACATGATAAGGCTCTACAAAAGCTCTGATTAGCATCTCCCTCTGTCATTATAGCCACTTTCCCAGAACCCTCCGAATGACAGAAAAACCCAGCTAGCAGATGTGGTTTCTCTGCGTGTCAAATCTCAACTTCAACTATGGGAAGACACAAATTAGAGGGCATCTGGTGAGGTGTCACACTGTATTCTCCTTCTTCAGCAGCACTTAGTCTGATGGATGGGGCAAATTCTCCTGGAGTTGAAAACAGAGTTCTATTTCTTTTCTAAAGTGCATACAATCACACTTCGAACCATGGCTGGGACTGAAATCTGGTGTGAAGGTTATGGACAGACGCAAACGTGAGACAAGCCCAGTTGTGACTTTTTCTTGTTTTCTGGGAAGAAGGAAAAGGTGGGAACGGCAACAAACCTCAAGCTCCTAGACCAAGTCTCGGCTTGCTACAGTACAAGTTTTAACAAAGACAGAACTCAGCATGAGCTGTTGGAGGGCAGATGGGAACACTGCTGCATCTCAGAGCACCAGGGCTGATACAAGGAAAAGATCTGCATATATCTGAGGCTCATCCTGCCCTCCAAAGCTCTGACACTTGGAAAAGGCAGAAGGAAACAGTTTGCCAGAGGTCTGTTTGCAGCAACACTGGTAAAATACAAGCCCAAGAAAAGGCAGCCAACATAAAACAGCCTTGGCACAACAAGGTTGCACTGAACCCCAAATGCTGTTTCTGCATCTGCCGGGGCTGCTGCAGGGCTCACTGTAGGACCCCTCCATGCACAGACACATTTCTGTGGCTGAGTCAGACAGAGGGATGGAGGAATTTGTCCTGAGAGAAGTGTGTTAGACAGCTGCTACAGCCATTCAGCTTTGCATCATGACCAGCAGGCAAACACGGGGAGGCTGTCATTGCTCACATTAGCCCCGAGGATGCCTGTGCCACAGCAACTGCCCCCCTGACCTCCAGAGAGGCACAGGATTTCAAGAACACATAGAGGCTTTGCCCTCCACCCCAATTAGTCTCCACCATCTGCGCTGCGCATCCTGGAAGAAAAAACAGACCTGAGCTCAGGTCAGGAGACAGAAAAAAATTTCACTCATGCAATGCACAACTGTTAAGATACACACTTCCCAAAATTATTTTGCTCATTCTTCAGAGGTGCCCTCTGAGAAGAAATTGTGGTCAAGTGTTTGAGCAGTCACAATCACCTCTGCTTGCATTTGATGCTACTACAATTCCCTTTTTGTCTTCAATAGCTGGTCAAATAATAACAAGCCTGAACACCTTTGAAAGACTTTTTTTTCCTTTTTTTAAAGGCTCTCATCTTTGAGGTGGTTCATATTAAGGCTGTCAAAAAAATCTTGCCGTGCAGTCTGAGGGCAGTTTCTCTTATTTGAGGAGAAGCCATTTTAATTCACTGAAAGTGAGCATACAAAGGAATACCCAACAGGCAACTGAACCTGGATGCTTCCCTGAAAAAAAGGGAAAACCTTGGAAGTGTAACAGCAAACTCTCTTTTTTAAATTATTAACTACCTAACATTCAGTAGATACTAAAATTGGCATGCTATTGATTTTCTCTTGTCCAGAAACATCATCAGCTTTAGTTAAGGGCCCCAAATGGTAACTCAAAGAATGAAAACTGCTTCTATTTTTAATTCTTTGAATTAATCCAGTACTATATGAAACATTAGCAAACCCCTTATCTCTTCATTGCAAACTAAGAACAATTCTTCTAGTATGGAATCCATACAACTCAGTATCTTTCTGATTTTAATTATCAATAGTCAGCCTCATCATTTTTTTGGAGTGCATGTGAAATTTGAAGTGGCAGCACACAAACCATTAATGTCAAACACCTCACTTCTGATACAAGCATCTTATACTTTTTTTCCCCTGATTTAGCTGGATTGTCTCCAGAAGATGGCATGGCATTAGAAAATGAATTAATAAATAAGCTGAACATGAACTTTTACTTTGTAATTGATTAGCTGTTACTGAAATATTCCAGCAAAAGACTGACAGCATGTGCACAGAAAACTGCCTAAATGACACATGGATGTATGCTTTGCAGGAGTAGAAATAAAATAGAATAAGGAAAATATTTTTCTGCATAACTATGCTGAACAGCTGCTCTTCTTACAGATACAGTAATACACTCCAATGTGCTGCAGTTCTGCATTTATTGTAATATGGTCAAATTATACATATTTTTAATTAGCATTAATGAATAAAAAAAATTCTATCGTTTTTTGCTTCTATGACTAGGCAAAAGTTGTATTTTTCACTCAAAGAATGAATATACCTCAAGGGAACTGTCTTTGTAAACAGGCACTTATAGCGATTTTCTATTAAAGTTTCTAATGAAACTCTTGGTTTCTGATCCATCAATTAATCAAGTCTTGTGTGATTTTAAGAGCAAAATGGATCTGATAGCGCAACAACATAACCAAAAAAATTTATGATACTTGTAAATATTACAGGCCAGGCATACCACATTTTTATTGAATTATACAGGAGAATTTTTACTATGCCTGCTCATACTGCAGACGATGACAAACATTGCTGTAACTCCTGTACCTCCCACTGCAAAGACATCCTTCATCTCCATTACAAAATATGTTTTAAGAGCTGTAAAAATACAAATATTTCACTCATCTGAACATATTTACAGTGAGCTACTTGGAGGTTTTTAAAGTCAGTTCTCTCAAACCCACTACAAAAGAAAGATTTAGAATCTCTTTTTCACATGCAGAACAAAATGTCTTCCTTCCCAGCCAGGCTCACAGAAGAGGATGTGAGGGCAGATCCCGTTCACACAAGTCCTTTTATCCCTAGACACCCAAAGGCTGGGCAGATAATGCAAATGGTCAGCCAAGTAACACCTTCACAGCAGGAGGTGAACCTAAATAATTACATTCACCCAATTTTTGCTATTTACAGGGAAGAGATACATCCTGTATCAAAAATATTCCCCAGGGTAAAAATTAACTGAGACAGTACTTCCAGTAAAAGCACAAAGCCTTTCCTCCATACAGGCTTTGTACTGGTTTAGCCAATGCATTTAGCAGCATTTTCCATCCCATGAGTGCAGTCACACAAGGCAACCCACCTCACTTAACTGAATGTCAAAACCACTTTATTCTTCACACCCATACACCAAAACAGCTATGGATGTACCTACATATAAAATAGTATAGCCCACTTCTCTCCTGAACAGATGAACCCTGCAAGTTTCCTGGCTGGGCTGCCTATCCCAGATTGCTTGTTCCCCCTTATTCATCTGGGCTATGCGATCCTAGAATACTCCTGGTTAGTGAGCAACAAGAAGGGGCAATGCCTTATTGGAAGAATTGCCCCCAGAATTGCTTTCTGGAGACACAACTGTACCCACATGATTGTTTTTTTCAGGTACACCTCATCTGGGCTGCAGAGCAGTGAATTTAGAGCACTGCTGCGACACACTGCTTGCTAAGCCACATCCCTAACCCATAGTCCAGTGCTAAAGGTATGTCATATGCCTATTGGTATCCCACAAAAGTGTTCCAAGTCTAGACAGCACCAAACACAAAGCCAGATTAACAGTATA